GAGTTTGAACTTACCAAGTACATCGGGAGTCAATATCCTACGACCCATATAAGGATCTATCTAAATGAAATGTCTAAGGTAGCATATGATGAAAAACTATCGATCCGTTTCTTTCTTAAGAGTCTCAATGAGTGCTGCTCTCAATTGGTTCATTGATTTAGACCGGACTAAAATCAAAAGTAGAAAGATTTAGTAGATATATTCATAAGACAATATAAGTTTAACCTAAAGATAACACTCGATAGATCAAGCCTACGAGTTTATGAAAAAACTCGAGGGAGTTTGTTAAGAAGTATGCTTAACGATGATGAGAAACGACTTCTTGCATTCCTCTATCTCTTCCTAAGACGGAATTGATTACTCTTTTTGTCAACATCGTTAAGACCCATATTACGACTATCTATTGAGTAATAGGTCAAATAACTTTGTTAAGATAGTGTCCACTATTGAACGGATTGAATAATCCATCAAGTCGGGAAAGATAGTCGACCTTTCGGAATCCGAGCACAAAAAGAGTAACTTTAGCCGGAGAAAAGACTCGGAGGTACATTAGATTGAAGAATCTCCTTTTAATCCTAAAAGGTGATGGAACAACTCTTAAAGGAATAATAATTAGTTCATTCCTTAAAATAACACGCCCAACCCGAGTTACATAATTCATGATTCCTACAAGTGCCAATTCGACTAAGTAGTTGGACTCACGACTCAAACACTAACCTTTTTCATAATATTAAATACCACATAATCCTTACTAAACACCGTATAATCTTTACCAAATCGTTCAAACACCTAAACTACCTTAACATCAACCCCAAACATATTACTAAAACCCATAACCATTCAGCTAACAAACAGAGATCACCCAATCAAAGCTTTCCAAAGACTACCAACAAAGGACAATGCAATGGCATATTATCATCATTATCTATATCTCTTGGTGATCTCTTCGAGCACTCAGTAGCTGTTGACCGGATAGCTCCCGTGACATTCACAACACTTCAACTACCATCCTCTCATTGGTAGAAGCTAAATGAAGTTTGTGTATACGACAATGGCACCAATGATCATAATATTGAAAAGTGTGTGAGCTTCGAGAAAAGGATGTGAAATTTGATTGATTAAGGCTCGATTGTATTTGAAGATTTCTCAAGTCCTTCGAATACTAATTACAATCCCTTGTTGAATCATGTCACTATTAGAGGAGTAAACATGCTATCATTGGATGATACAAAATGTGATTGAAAGAGATCAACCTTAAAAATCTCTATGTCTTAGTTGTTTGATATGATGAGTGCCAATGACTTTAACTTGAAGCCTATTGAGACCAAAGCCTTTATTCATGCCAAACAATTTTATAAGTTCCACAAGGTGAATGGGCATGATATTGGTGATTACTATGAGTTTCATCGAATATTTCAAACCATGCTCGACACTTGGAGCTTTGAGGATAGAAAGAGAAGAAGAGCATGGCACGAGAGTAAACACTTTAAATACAGAAAAAGCTAATGCTAATGGTTAAGTCATTCGGTTCGAGCTAGTACCTAATAATTTGAAGTAAGCAACTTCTCCATAACTCACAATCAATATACTTGAGGATGCCATTGATGTTGATGATTTGTAAGTAAAATCAATCAAGTAAAGGAATTGAGCAACTAGTTTTATGAAGAAGTGCCTATTATTTTCAAGATTAAGTAGTTTTCTTATCATGATTATCTTTGGATTTCTACCATTATAATTCATGAATTGTTATGCCAAACTTCTTATCATACTATCACAATAATTTTAGTTTATGAGATCGTATAAATTTTCTCCATCTTTGTCTTCTTTTTTTATTCATCCTATTTGCATCCTCTTTTAGCAGCATTCAATATGATCATATCCTAAAAATACCAAATGATTATTCCTAAAAAAAGAAACAATTGGCGTAACTCGATGACAATGGATAAAGAAAAAATATTACAATTTTTATGGATTGAGCTATTTCTTTAAATGAAAAGAAATTTCTACCATCTTAGCATGATTTATTATCAATTCAAAATAAAGAGATGCTTATTTGAAAGTACCATTCGTCATTTCATGTCATCCAAGTTGACGAATGGATTCAACATATTTCAAAAATGATCGATTTTTAAAACATATCATATAAATGCTAAGGGGCAATTCCTTTTTGCTAAAATCAAAAATATTTTTTTATAGACCTTTTTTAGGATAGTCTTGCATAGAATAATATAATGATACCCTAAATAAGAAGTTAAATGATTTGATATCTTAAATGATGATAAGTGATGCATACTCGGATTATGATACCATTCGATCTATCATTTCTTCTTCATAAATTATGATTTTCGAATGAAACTGAAGCCTTTGATAAATTTTATCCTTTGTCATCCCACTTTGAGCCTTTGATAATTTCTTTCGATAATAATTCGGACCAGGATCACCCCTCACATTGGAGGAAATTTAAAGGTATATGAAATCAATGATGTTCTCTTAATGATTAAGGATTTGGTTTAAAAAAATTAAGAAGGAGCTTGATAATAATCCCAAAATAATGAGGCTAAAAAGGAAAAATATAAAAATAAATATAAAATGACACTAAACAAAAGGAAGTATTTTCTAAATGGCCCCTATCATGATTCAAAGCTAGAAAAGGTTATGAAATCCCAAAAGATGATACAAGTGAATATGAATGGAGAATTGAGATCAAAAGATGAGATCAACCATTAAAATTCCAAAGTTAGTATCGCAAAGCTAAAATAATTTTGATGGGTGATCACGTAATCCTATGTCTATATACCTTCAAACACCTTTTAAGCCTTTTTATATCTTTTGTTCATGAGTCAAAGCCTTAGCCTATATTATATGGCTTTAAAAGTCCTTTTTGATCGAGGATGACTATTTCGTATGGCTAAGCTTTCACTCTAAACTAGAAGGGGAAAAACATTTTTTGTTTATGCATCACAAATCATCATTCATGACATTAGATTATGAGTTTTACATTAAATACTTGGTGGTAAAGAACAAATGACATCAATATCTTTTTAGATAAAACTATCCATTTGAGCCTAAATTTCTTGAAAAGCCTTTGAGCCTAAGAAACCATTTGAGCCCACTTGAAAAGCCTTTAAGTTAAGAAAACCCATTTGAGTCTATTTTTTTGAAAGCCTTTAAGTCTATGACCTTCATTTGAACATTTCATCGCCTTTGAGCCAACATTTGGCACTTTTCTTTTTAAAAAAAGATTTCTTTCTAAATATTTGAGTGATCCGAATACATTTCACTCACTTAGCCTAAAAAGGATCATCTTAAGGATTACATGATGACATTTACATGATGTGTTTTGGTTTCGACCAAATGAATCAAATATTTTCTTGAATGAGATTATATTCATGTAAACATCTCTATGATTTTTTTTTGAATAATTTAACTTGCTTTGATGAAATTTATTCAAATATATGGCCTAATATAGAAAAGTCAAAACAATCAAAAGTTGAGTCTTCGAAAAAAATCAATCAAAATCAAAATCAAAATCAAATCAAATCGGACCAACTTCACTTTTATCTAGAGCAACAAAGAAATCATTTGAGTTATTGTCAAAATTCATTAGAGTAATCATTTCAACTTCGCTTCTCTTATTCTTGCTTGGCCTAATATAACTTGATTTGCTCTTTTTTATCTTTCAAAATAGCCTAATTTTTACAAATATGATCAATCCCTACAAAGCCTTTTCTTTGGTCAAATGCATGATCATGTGATTGACATCATTTATGAATGTGATGATGTAGCAAATTGGTAAATGATAACATGATAAGAGTTTTGCTTAGACTTGATAGACAAAAAGGCTTTCTTTATGAAACTTGTCATAAGATCCTTCTGATGAATTAAGGATGACAATGATGAAAACTATCTCAATGATTTTTGGATCGGATTTTTTAATATGTCGCTGAAAAAACCTAAACACTTGGGGGGCAATACACTAAGAGAATAAAAGAATGAATAAACCGCTCGCCTAACCAAAAGAGCAAATGTCATTTAGATAACATGCACGATAGCCTAGTGAAAACATTTTAAAAGGACATAATCAAAAGACATGTGATTAAACAAATAAAAATCAATAAGAACGACTAGCCTAAAAACCTTAAGCCTATTCAAATGGTGATGGTTTGTAAATAAGGGGAAAGTTTATGTTTTGATAGTGGAAACTTATGTTTCTCCGAGGATAATAAGGTATGTTGCTTTCACCTTTATAAATTACTAAGGGAAGGTTACCTTCTTGAGCTCGAGGATGGTTACTCACATTAACTAGTTACCAATGAAGGTCACTTGCTTGACCTTGGGGATGGTTAACCGTATTAACCAATTGCTAAGATCAAGTGACCTTCTCGACCTCGGGGATGTTTATCCATATTAGCTTGTGTTTTGAGGAAGGTCCTTCATAATTGACCAGGTGATTTAAGGACGAGTAGTCATCACTTGACCTTGTTGATTGATTTGTTTGTTTGTATTCTGTTTATTTGTCATTCTTCTATGATTTTCGTTACAACCTTACCATGTAAAGCTAAAGAAAAGTCGACTTTTCGGTGGCTCTATATAGTAAGTATTGTAAAAAGAGATCAACTGTTAGCACCTAATTTTTTTCTTAAAAAAATTCAAAATAAACAAGAAGAGAAAAAGACCAAACTTAGTATAAATACTTCCATTTTCTTTAAAAAAAAAATAAACAACCACTTCTCTATCTAAAATGGCAGCCATATACTTCCTCTCTTTAGAAAAATTTCAACCAACCACTCTCTCGTTCTAAAATTCGACTCGTGCTTTTCCACACTAAAGTCGTTATCCTCTCCACTCGAAACTTCAACAACTCGGTTGCCTTTAGCCACTCGCCTATTTTCCCTAATCGGCTAGCCACACCTATCGATCATACCACAATCGTTCCAATTATGCCATACTCCATCTAGTCACCCGATCCACGCATATAGCCATTTGATGCGTCCGAAGCGATGCCGGACTCTAGCGACCTCCAATCCAAGCATCGTCATATAGCCGGCCATTGCACGATGTGTCTAGCTTCATCATTCAATGGCCACCATGCTAACCATGTAGCCGTCCAACCTCCGACCACCATCCGACGCTTCCAATAGCTACACTAGACTCTAACGAGTAGGCATTGCTAGTTGTCCAACCTTGATTCGATCATCACCTCACTCGACTCTAAAACTATAATGGATAGTGGTTGTGCCTTCTTGGTTGATCGAATAATCGATCTCCATCGATATTGAAAAAAGTCAAAACCGACTCCAATTTGATAATACAAATTTTTTCAATCTTTTCTCATTTTTAGCAAGTGATTTATTTTTTTATTTTTTTATTTTAATATGTATTAAATTTAATTCATATTGATATGTCCGTAAATTAATTAAGTTGCTATTATGTGTGTAAATTAATTAAATTACGGTTATGTGTGTAAATTGATTAAACTACTACTATGGGTATGGTTTGATTAAATTATTGCTATATGTATAGTTTGATTAAACTATTGTTGTGGGTATAATTTGATTAAACTGTCGCTATGTGTATGGTTTAATTAAATTATCGTTGTTTTTGTATGGATGGCTTTAAACGATTACTACTCGTGGTTGTATGATATGTTATTGCTTGTGCGATTTTTGAGTCCCGTCGGTTCAAATCTCATTTTTTGATCGCTTTTTCCAATCGTGATGATTACCTAAGTTGTACCAATTTGTGCTAAAAAAATATGATTCTTGCATCACATTGGTTCGAACCTCATTTTTTGATCTTTTTTGCCCATTGCAACGATTAATTGATATTGTACAATTTGCCTAAAAAATCTAATTATTGAGTCACGTTGATCCGAACTCCGTTTTTGGGCCATTTTTTCCAACTCGCCTAAAAACATGTAATTCTTTAGCTACGTTGGTCCTAATCTTGTTTTTGGACCATTTGCAATGATTAATTTGATGCTCGTGTTGAATTTATCCCAAAAAATGTGATGTCTAAGTTCGTGTCATCTAAACCTTTACTTAGACCAGCTTTTGCCGATTTAGCCTAAAATATTGTTTTGAAAAATCATGACTTTTAAGTTATGTCGGTTTGCACCTAGAGTTGAACCGTTCATGCCAACATCGTCTACTATGCCAATTTTACTTGCTCAATTCATTTGCCTAAAAATTGTGACTTTTGAATTTGTGTCACTTTGAATCCCATTTTCGGATTGTTTTCATCAATCTCAATGATTTTTTTGGCCAATTTTGCGAAATTTATTGATTTTGTCATTTTTGCCCTTTTTATCACTTTTTTGCCGTCTTTGTCATTGATTTGCCAACTTTGTTTTTTTTTTTTATCGTTTTTGTTGTCTTTGTCATTGTTTTGCCAATTTCGTCAATTTTGTTATTTTTATCCTTTTTAACAATTTTGCTATTGTTTTTGCTAATTTCAATGATTTTTGCCTCGTTTACCTATTTTACTTATTTGCGTAATCGCCAATTTGCCTATTTGCTTATTTTATCTATTTAACTATTTTACCTATTTATCTATTTGCCTAATCGCCTATTTGTCTATATTTATCTATTTATTTTGTCTAATTTGCCTATTAGCATATTTTGCATATTTATCTATTTTTGCATATTTTGTCTATTTGCTTATTTTGCCATTATTGTCTAATTTGCCTAATCACTTATTTTGTCTAACTAGTTAGCCTATTAGCATATTTTGCATATTTGTCTATTGTTGCCTATTTGCTTATTTTTGCTTATTTTGTCTATTTGCTTATTTTGCCGTTATTGTCTAATTTACATATTTACTTATTTTGTCTATTTTGCCTATTTTTAAGCCTTATTTTTATGCATGTCATTTATATTGCATTAGCCAAATATCCTTGCATTCATAATGTCTTTTCATTATCTTAACTATTCATTACAAAATGAAGACAAGGTCTTTGATTGGTCAAGTTCTAAACCACTCAACCGAGTGAGTAGATATTTAGAAAATAGATATAGATTTTCAACATAAAAAAATCAGAAATCAAATCGATTTTGTATGCAATGCGAGCTTGCTTTAAATAGGATGGAAGTATGATGATTTTTTTTAATCTTTTCTACACATAATAAACCCCTCTAAACGGATCAGCTTATATGGTTTCTTAATAACTATAATACTAAGTGGCAACTCCATTAATTTTTATCAATTTTTCTATTTTTTGAAAATCGTCACCCTTTGAAAAAAAAAGAAAAAGATTTGGCTAAAAGTATTTTAAAATTTTAGTCAACGCAGATCCAGTCCCTGATTTTATTCTTTAACGAGCAACTAGATTTCCTTTTAAAACTAACGGTTCTAAACCATGCATGCATGTGATGTGATGCTATACCTTTTTTTATTAATTCAACCTTAGATGAAAGTGAAAGTACGTAGTTGTTCAATGCATAATCGGACGACAAAATCATTGAAATTGGCAGCTCAACTAAGATTTGGGTTATGGTTTGAAGATTGATTTGAGGTTTATTTTTAAGTACCCTTATCTTTTTTAAAATGGAAGTGACATCATATTTTTTTTGTTACTCACTGAATAATATAAAATTCATCTGTCCTTTCAATTTTTGCTTTCTTCTAATATATATATATTGAAATAAATAAATGATCACTTAATTGCAAGTTGCTTTTTCATTTATCAAACCAACAAAAAATTATTTTAAATAATACAAAACAAATATTAAATTAACAAATTCTCATTATTAATTTTAATTTTTGAAAAGATATACAAGGATGATGATGATGATGATATTGTTGGGAATGACAACAGAAACGCCTTTGGTAATGGTAATGCGTGCCGTTGAAGACAAGCTAACTATGGAGTAAATAAGAAGGATTTGAATTTTACCAGATTATTCAGATTCTAAAAATAAATTACGTGCATTATATGATGAGCTGATGCAAATTGCCCACAGATTACAGGATCAGTACCATCAGATTGGCATAACAAAAGGACAAGAAAAAGAATAATTATGTCGTATAAAGATCTTGCCCACTTCATAGAAAATCAGAAAACGAAGAACTGTGAGTCCAGAACGATAGAATTGGTGCAAAGCCAAAATAAAAAATAAAAATGGAGAAGCAACGCAGAGCTCACTGCTTAGTCCTATCCTATCCAGTCCAAGGCCACATAAATCCCATGCTTCAATTCTCCAAGCGCTTAGAACACAGAGGAGTTAAAGTTACTCTAGTTACTACTCGTTTTGTCTCCAAAACCATCATGTCTGGATCATCCTCCAGTTCCATTGAACTCCAAACTATATCTGATGGATATGATGAGGGTGGTATAGACCACGCAGAAAGCATCAAATCATACCTGGATCGCTTTTGGAAGGTGGGGTTGCAAACTCTTGACAATCTTGTCGAGAAGCTAAATAGTTCGGACTGCCCTGTTGATTGCATCATTTACGATGCATTTATGCCTTGGGGTCTTGATGCGGCCAAGAAGTTTGGGTTGGTTGCTGCTGTTTTTTTCACTCAATCTTGTGCTGTTGGTAGCATCTACTATCACATCCATCGAGGGTTGATCAAACTTCCTGTCACAGAGACTAAAATTTTGGTTCCTGGACTGCCTCCTCTTGAGCCTCAAGATATGCCATCTTTCATTTATCATTTTGGGACGTATCCAGATTTCTTTGACATGCTTTTGGATCAGTTCTCCAATATTGCTAAAGTGGATTGGGTCCTTTGCAACACATTTTATACGTTGGAAAAAGAGGTGGGATCTACGCTGTATATACATTTCTTTGTGCAGTATTAATCAAATTCTAACTTAAATTGATTTTTCTTTTTAATCATTTTAATTGGTTTATAGGTGGCAGATTGGTTTGCTAAGCTTTGGCCGTTTCGAACTATTGGACCAACTATACCGTCTATGTATTTAGATAAACAACTTGAGGATGACAAAGACTACGGTATCAGCCTCTTTAAGCCAAACAATGATTTTTACATGAATTGGCTAAATGACAGGCCAAAAGGATCAGTTGTATATGTTTCATTTGGAAGCCTGGTAGATCTTAAAGCAGAGCAAATGGAAGAACTAGCTTGGGGGTTGAAGAGGAGCAATTGTTATTTCCTGTGGGTGGTAAGGGCATCGGAAGAAGCTAAACTCTCCAAGGATTTCGCAGAAGAAAGTTCAAAAGGTTTAGTGGTGAGATGGTGTTCACAGTTAGAGGTTTTAGCACACGAGGCAGTGGGATGCTTCGTTACACACTGTGGCTGGAACTCTAGTTTGGAGGCTTTGAGTTTAGGTGTCCCGATGGTGGCAATGCCTAACCGGACAGACCAAAGCACCAATGCAAAGTACATTACGGATGTTTGGAAGATGGGAATTAAGGCTCCGGTAGATGAGAAAGGGATTGCCAGACGGGAAATAATAGAGAGTTGCTTGACCGAAATATTGGAGGGGGAGAAAGGGAAAGAGATCAAAAGCAATGCTTGTAGATGGAAGGAATTGGCCAAAGAAGCAGTGAATCAAGGTGGAAGCTCAGATACAAACATTGATGAATTTGTGGCTACTTTGGTTCGCCCTTGCAGCTCTTAGTGATGCTTCTCTTTGCAACTTTTTTATTTTTTATTTTTTCTATTTCTTGCTTGTTGGCATAATTAATTATAAATTGTTTGTGTTATTTGAAATTCTTCTTAGAAATGTAATCCGATTGACAGTCATGTTCAACTTTCTCAAGAAATCTCAGGTTGAAACCTTTCCTTCGTTACAAAGAATAAAAACAAAGCAATCATCATTATTAACTTATTCAATATTCTGACTGGTCCAACTCCAATCTGCCTTCAGGCTCGCGCTATCATTTTCAAATATTGCAGCTAGTAGAACATGTAAATATTGTATATATCTGCATCTTCATCTACATTCGTTGCATTTGAAGAACGGTCGAAGTTGATGATTTTTTTCCATGTCCATCCATACTTGACCGCAACAGCAAAGGGCTACTGTATCTGATAGCTGTACTATGGAAACTGGCAGTATAGACAAGGCAGCCGCAGAAAGCATCGAAGTTGGCTAACAAGATAATCTCTACTCTGTCTCAGCCAAAATGCATGCACATTGAGCCACCTTCCGCATTACGATAGTCATCGATCAAAAGAGAATCACAAGGGACTTCAATTACGTAACTATATATGTAATTAAATAAATGAGTTAATGAATCAATTTGTCCTAATATAATAAAATAATCTCTATCTATTATTATATTTTTATATATCCATAAAATTTTTAATCTATTCTTTTTAAAAAAATTTTACACCAAATTATCAGAGTTAGTCACATGATTTATATGCGATTATTTTCTATTTTTATAATTCGTTTGCTAGAGAGATAAATTGAAAGTTTCCAAATAAAAATCAAGTTATTAATTCTGATATTTTGCACTAAAAATTTTATCATAAGAATCGATTATAAACTTAATCAAAAATAAAATTAACTCGATTATATAAAATAGATTAATCCATTAACCCTAAATAATATTGTACAACGATCTTTTTCAAAAAACATTCTTGATTGTTGTTTAGACTGAACCAATGACACAATAAAATAATTCAAATAGAATCAATTAATTATTGTAAGTGCAATTGGTCTAGTCTTAATATATAAATCAAGTATATTTCTTCTTTGTGGTAGCCTGAGAAATTTTTAGTAACCACAATTCACCATAACTCCAATTGCTTAGGGGTTATTTGATCTCATTAATTTGATGTCATTTACGATTTTTGTTTTTGTTTTTGATTTTCAATAACAGAAACGAAAAACTTAATTTGTTGTAGATTTTATTTATATATAATCAATTTTTTTTTTCAGTCTTTGAAAAACGAAGTAAAATCAATGAATCCAAGGACTTGAGTAACGTTTTCAGCAAATATCAGACGAACAATCTATTGAAAGTGTCCTTGTCTTTCTCATCAAAGACTTGTCTAGAAAGATGGTATGTAAGCAACTATCACATGAACAATCCATTGAAAGTGTCTCTGTCTTTCTCATCGAAGACTCGTCTAGAAAGAGGACATGTAAATGTCAGGAATCTTGAAGCAGCGTTGTCCGTACATTTGATTCTCGTCCATGTGCTGGCCTAATAAATCCATTTTGAATGCGTGCGTACTCAGTGACTTCAAATATATATATGTATATGAACCCGACCAGCTAGTTGCAATTACAAATCTGACATTACCATTTTTGTTTTGTCCTTTCCTTTGTAGTGTATGTTTTATTACTATATTGGGTTGCTTTTGGTCAGTGGATTTTTTCTTTTTTCTTTTTTTAAAGCAATTGGGCCATATACATAGAAGAGAAAATATAGACATATCAAATCTTTCGATCATTTAGAAATAAATTCAAATTCAGAATTATTTTTTAAAAATAAGACGAGTAAATTAAAAGAGAGTAAATTATAAATTAGTCTCTTGTTTTTTATAAATAAATTAAGTAGTTTTTTTATTTTAAAAATTAATTATTTAGTCTTTTAACCACTTTTGATCATATTTAATTTAATATTTTTTATTTTAAAAATATTTTTTATTTCTAATCAATACTTTCATATGTTTTACTTATTTTTTCTTTTTTAAAAAAAAATAGAAAAAATAATTAAGTTATAAAAAAATAAAAATATAAAAACTAAATAATTAAGTTTTAAAACATAAAGATTACTTAATTCGTTTTTCTAAACAAAAAAAATTTATAATTTTCTCAATTAAAAAAGGAATACAAAAGCATTAACCTTTCCCGGAACAAGTTGAAAGGTCTTGATAACTTTTCGCCTTTGCATTCCATAGCTACAAAAACACATCAAACAGGACAAAGAAAAGAATAGCGTCACGATTAATAAATTTCGACTTTCTCAAACGTACAAAATTATCATTGATTTCTATAGTTTATAAAAAATAATTAAATAATCTCTTAAAACAATATATTTCTAATTTCGCCATTTCATGGGCTGTTCTTATTTGCTTATAGTAAAATTATTGTGGATTGACTGTAAGTCAATCCACGGTGCTACTATTGTTTGTGCGTGTGGGTGTTTTTTTTTTTTTTGCTTTTCTTTTTTTTTCTCTTGCCTCTCATCTCAACCTTTCATTTTTAACATAACAACCTAACCCTTAATTTATCAAAAGATGCAATTCATATTATTCTCTCCACAATCAATTATTACCCCCACATATCTCACCTTATTTCTTTTATTTAAAAAACTCTCATTTTATTCTCTCATGTACGCTTTCTCTCTCTCCTCTCCTCTCATCTTCTCTTTTCTAATTTCTTGGCCAAAAACAAAGAATTTCTTACAAGATTGTCAATGGCAACCACTCGCTCAATGTTCCTCCACCACAAGGAATGTGATAAATTGAAAATCTTGTATATTTCGTGCTTAACATAATACACCGACCCCCTACACACACACACACACACACACACAAAATAATGGAGCCTAAAGAAAAGGAAATAAGGGTCGTATAAGGAAGGAAAGGCTATAAATACAAAATCTCGTTATCATTGGCCTATTTTATAGCCTAGTCATTGACTCTATAATGTAGCTACTAATATTGTTAACACCCCTCCTTCAAACTCAAGATAGGAGTGTAGATATCGACTTGAGTTTGCTTGGTAAGTCATAGAAGCGAGTGAAAAGATGAGTCTTGGTCAAAATATCAACTGTCTAGTCAGTGAGGAGACGAAACCAAACGCGAGTGCCTATGGTTCCATTCGAGAAAGTATAGCCTTAGCATTGACAAGGTAGCGAACAAAATGATAATTAATCTCAATATGTTTGGTGCGTTCGTGAAAAACAATGTTGTGAGCAATTTGAATAGCACTTCTATTATCGCAATGGAGAATCGTGGCGGATGAATGGTGGATACCCATATCGGACAACAACCGGCGGAGCTATGGTAACTCGAAAATGGCATCGACAAGAGCATGATACTCGATTCGAGCATTAGAGTGAGCGAGTGATGCTTGCTTTTTGCTTTGCCAAGAGATAAAAGTCTCCTAAGAAGAAGCAATACCTAGTAGTAGAGCGACGGTCGGTAGGGTCACCGACCAATCAGCATCTAAATAGCCGGGTAACACCAAAGAAGTGTGAGAAGAGAAATGTAAGCCATGAAAAAGAGTCCTTTTAACATAGTAAAGGATTCGAAGTACGACGATAAAGTGAGAGGAATGAGGTGAGCTCATGAATTGGCTCACTCGATGAATGGCATAAGCAATGTCGAGTCGAGTAATAGTAAGGTAGACAAGACTCCAATAAATTAGTGATACACTCGTGAGATCATCTAAAGATGTACCATCCAAGGGAGTTAGTTTAGCATTGAATTCTAAAGAAGTGGATACAGTCTTGTTATCGGTGATGCCGACCAAAAAAGTAAATCGAATCATACTTAGCTTGAGACGGATAGTAACCATCATAGTTGTGGGATACTTCAAGTCCCAAGAAAGAGCTAATAGGGACAAGATCCTTCATCTCAAAGTGTTGACGAAGATACTGTTGTAGTTCAAAAATACAAGATGTGTCATCGCCTATAATAATCATATCATCAACATAGAGTAAAAGAAGCACAATACCACGATCAGTATGATGGATGAATAAGGTAGAGTCATAAGGACTAAAAGAAAAACCCAACCGAGTAATAGTACAACTAAATTTTGTAAACCATGCCCGAACCTGTTTGTTTTAGCCATATAAGGCTTGTTGAAGTTGCAAACTTTGTGAGGAGCTTGAGTGTAACAAGGAGGAGGATGTATGTACACTTTCTCTTGTAAATCACCATTCGGAAAAGCATTTTTGACATCCATTTGAAGGAGTCGCTAATTTTTAACGGCTATAAAGGTTAATAGATCGTGCACTAAGGTCAATCGAGCTACGGGAGCAAAAGTTTCTTTATAGTCTATACCATATTATTGAGTGTAGCCTTTAGCGACTAATCGTTCCTTCTAGCATTCAATAAAGCCATCAAAACAAGTTTTGATTATGAAAATCCACTTACACCCAATTGGAGTCTTACCGGGAGGAAGATCAACTAAGTTCTAAGTATGAGTGTTCTCCAAAGCTTAAAGTTCTTCATTTATAGCTTATTACCAAAAAGGGTTTGTGCTAGCCTCACAATAAGTACGAGGATCATGTAATTGTACAATAGTAAAATAATAATGATAATTAGAAAAATGATAGAGAGTTTTTCTTACCCGAGTGCTTTGATGAATGGTGGGTTTAGACACGGGATCCGTATTCAAAAAAGTTTCAATAAGAGTAGACGTAGAAGTAGGAGTATTATCATTAAGCTCGTTGTAGAATCCGAATCCGGACTAAGAAATAATTCAATAAGCTGGATTAGTAAAAAAAAAAAAAGAGGGAGTGGTGATAGAGTGGTGAAACTTAGATAAGGAAGAAAACATAATATTCTCTTAGAATTTTAAATGTCGAGAAATACAAAGACGTTAAGATGTAGGATCTCAACATCTATACCCTTTGTGTTCCACTTTGGTGTGTTCGTGTGGTTGTAGAAGAACAAAACAAGCACATCCAAAAGGTTTAAGGAGTAAGTAATTAGGGGGATTTCCAAAGAGTCTTTCATAAGGAGATAGGTTGTTGAGGACCAAAGTAAGAATACGATTGATGGAAAAGACAATAGTGAAAGCTGCTTCTCCCTAAAATTATCCAAGACAGGAAGTAGAAAGCAATAAAGTGCATATAGAATCGGGAATATCACGATGTTTATGCTTTGTTCGCCCATGTCTGTTAGGAAGTATGAGGGCAAGAGTGTTGGATAACGAGTACCCTATTGATCAAGAAAACTAAGTAAAGAGGATTCTTTATATTCCATGGCATTATCGGTGTGAAGAATCTTAATGCTATACAAAAATTGAGGTTTAATCATAAGGGCAAATTTAATATAAATGGAAGGTAGTTTAGATTGGTGTTTTAGGAAGTATATCCAAGTATAGCAAGAAAAATCATCAATAAACAAAATAAAATAACGATAACCATTAACTAAAGCAATAGGGAAATGACCTCAAATATGAGAATCAATAAGTACAAAAGGAGTATTTGAGATAGAAGTACTAATATTAAAAGATACGATCGATTGTTTACCAAGTTAATAGTAAAAACAATGAAAAAACTCAAACTTAGTAGATCCTAACAAACCACGAGAAGTTAAAGATCGAAGTTTATCGACATAAGCATGACCAAGGTAACTATGTCATTGATAGATGGAGGAATGTATGGTAGCTATAGATACAAGTTTTTGAGGAAGATGTAGAGAGCAAAGCTCAAATAATCTTCTACTCGTGACTTGTTCCAAGAATCCGGCCCATCCGTGGATTTTGAACTTGACAACCAAATGAAAAAAATAAAATATTTAATCTTTATTCACATAATTAGCTAACAATGATGAGGTTTAAAGTTAAATTAGGAACATAATAAGTATTTGGAAGGCTAAGATTAGAGGTAGAAGTATGATCGGTATGAGAAATGTGCATTTGGGTACCATTAGTAGTATGTATAGGTGTATAAGTGGTAAAGAGGTGATCGATTATTTTGAAGATAAGATATCGAATTCAAGGTCATGTGATTGCAATATGCGAGTCAAAGAGCCAAGAAGAATTACCCGAGATAACGGACATGGTAAGAGAAGAATTGAAAGAGATAACTTGTTTAAGAAGAGCCTCAAGAGCACTCATAATGATGGCGAGTAGAACCCTCGGTGGCAACAACAGCAATAGATGAAGATTCGGACTTTGAGAGAGCTCGAGATTTAGAAAAAGCCATTTTTTGGTCGCGAGAGATCGAGTAGGACAATGTTCTAGGATGTGTCCAAAACCATAACAATATCTCGCTTTCAATAGTAGGATAATTGACAAAAGCATGACCATTTTGATGACAATGCTTACATAATAGAGTTTCGATTTCTAATAAGAAGATCCGGAATGAGTGGTAGAAAGAAAGACTACAAATGAAGGAGTCTTGTCTAGATTAAGATGTGTTTCCTCAAAAATAATCTCACGAATGGTAGCATCTAAGGTAGGAAGAGGATTGTAATG